GGAGAGGAAAGGAGATTGTAAACCACCCTGAGACTCCTTCAGGTAGTGAAGGGCGGAATATAAATCCAATCTCCTCCTCGTCCTTCTACCTGTTGATATGGCAACTGCCACCCCATCAAGTGTAGGCATATTACACCTCTGTATAATACAAGAATTCTGTAACTGCCTGTTCTGTTCAAACCCATATTACAAGCACTGGTTCAGGATCAGGACCAATGCAGCAGCTCTTGAAGAACATAAAACTGCATGTCATCAGCATATTGATAACTTACATATCCAAAGCTCTAGATGATCTCATCACATGGTTTTATCTAGAGCTTTAAAAGCACCAATTAAAGCCCTGAACAACATGCTGACTCCCTTGGGCCTGAGCTCACCATCTTGAGTCAGATGCAGAAATACACATAGTGATGCTGTATGGAGAGTCAGTTTGTGCTCAGCTGCTGAAAACATTTTTCTGGGTCTGGGACAAATACTGTGCTCAGCTTCCCACTGGGACAGGATCCCTCGTCATATGATAGCCATCTGTGTTCACCTTTGTATGCTGCCTTGAGTTTGTCCCTCTAGGTTAGCTATTCATTGCAGGGACATATATCTAGTTCAAGATGCTGTGTGCATCTTTGATTGTCACAGTGTGTGTGTGCCATTGTCTCTGGACTGAATTCCATTTGTTGTTTTAGTCATGTGGGAAACTGAGGTCAGGTCAAGTCACCCTTTATTGGCATATATCAGTAGAACAAAATCATTATAAAAGTATATAAGTAGGACACTGTATTACAAATACATTGAATAAAATAATAGGTTACAACTACTTTTTCTTGGTGTAGCAGCAAGGTGGATTAAAGGAACTTAGCCACTTTCTCAGTTACTTCAGCAGAGGAATCATTCAAAACTTTGTAAACTTTATGGGAATCTGAAAAACCCATTGTGTTGGCCAATACAGAGTTTAGATATTTAGAGTGTATCCTCCGGTATATATAATTCTATTTTGGTCATGGACTCCCCTGAACATTCCAACACGCTCCAAAATCAGTTCGGTCTCTGATCTGTCATTCAGAAGGTCTCCGTATCCACTGGCTGCTTTGCCTGAGTCCTGCCTCCAACATTCTAAACAGTTTGCTGTTCCTCTCCCCCCCCACAGCCAGTCAGAACACAGAGGTCATTTGCATATGTGGCCTGATTCGCCTTTGCCTCGGAACACAGAGGTCGGTTTGCATATGCGGCCTCACTGGCCTTTCCCTCTAACATTCTAAACAGTTTGCTGTTGATGTTCTGAGGTAAAATAAATTGCCCCTTAGTGTCTGTTGGGGGAAACCATGGTTGCAAATCTCCAGGTGAGGGCTAAAGATCACTCAGAATTACAACTGCTTTCCAGATGGCAGAGATCAGTTCCCCTGGAGAAAATGATGGACTTTGTGTCCTTATATCCTGCTGAGATGGCCTGAGGTCCCTCCCCACCCCAAATCCTGCCCTCCCCAGGCTCTACCCCTCAAATCTACAGATATTTCCCCAACCCAGAGTTGGCAACCATGTAATTGGCTGTGGAACCACTTTCCAGACCCTTGGAACCCAGAAAACATGGCACTGGAGGAGGTGCTTTTCTACCTTAGCTGCCACTACATAACACCCCTCTCCCCCTCAAAAATAATTCAAAGGTGGAGAGAACCATATCTGTTACCATGAGGCTGTCCTCCCATTCTACCCATTTGGGCAGCAAAATGACTTGAGACAGCCCTGCCTTATAGCTATGCAGAAGGAAAGAAACATGGCTTGCCTCCCTCCATTTTCCGCTTCCCTCTGCCACCCCACCAGCCACAGTCGGGACACTCATCTGGAGCTTCCTTCTAGATCTCATTGTATTTCTTCCCACAACAGGCATTACTCCTAGTATTTACATTAAAGTTTAATCGCAACAAAACATGTATGACCGTCTCAACACGTCCAGATTCACAAGGGCAATGGCTAGCCGCATATACTGTCTTATTGAATCTGCCATATAGAATGGCAGATGGCATGGCATTGCATCTGGCTAAAGAGAAAGCTCTGCGTACTTGTGGTGCTTGTAGGGAGGATAAATATGATGCCATCCTACCTACAGTGAGGGGTATCTCAAAGCTCAGAGGAGAGCAGGTTTTGTTTGCGAGACTATGTAACTCCTGACGCTCAATATCCAACATCCTGTTTGATCAACTGGAAGGCACCCACTAATGGGAGCATAGTCAGTGAATCCAAAAATATACCCTTGGCCTTAATTTTTTTCTCAATATATGATGGCCAGTTTGACGTGTTAGACTCTGAGAGCGTTTGGTATATGAGGCTCCCTGGGTCAGAATTATAATGTAGACGTAGCCAATATTTAAACGCATACGCCATGCTCTGGTTTCGACTAGATTCAGACCTGTTTCTAAGCAAAGAACTGCACATGGGACACACTTTGGCAAGCCCAAAACTTTACGTAGGAATTTGGACTGGACACCATCGGTGGCACTGTCAAGAGCTCTGATCCATATCGAGATGCCATACAATAGTTGTGAGATCACTTTGGCATGAAAGATTTTTAAAGCAGCTGGTACAAATCGGTTACCTTTACTGTAGAAAAATAGTGTTATAGTTGAAGCATTGATATTAGCAGTATTTATTGCATGTACCCATGTTTGCGTTGGATAAACCAAGACACGTTGTATTGAAAGTAGAGGCCAAGGTATCTGAAGTGCTTAACTTGTTCTATTTCTTTTCCGCCAGTTATCCATTTAAATGGTTTCCAAGTTTTAGAGAAGACTAGGATTTTTGATTTCCCATGGTTCAGCTGTAACTTGTTAGTTGTAAAGAACTCAAGGCAACGGGTCAGTAAGCGTTTTAAGCCAAATCTGGAATGGGACAATAATACTGTATCATCAGCATACAGAAGTAGGGGAACGTGTAAAGAGCCAAGTTTGGGGCTGTGATAATCAACTCCTGACAAGTGAGGGGCAAGGTCACTGAGAAAAAAAGATTAAATAAAAAGGGAGCTAGAATGCAACCCTGTTTTACTCCCATATGAGTAGGGATTTTCGGGCTTAATTTGCCTGCTAATGAGCATTTAATTTGGCAAGTGTTGGAGGTATATAGCTTCTTGAAGGGAAACTGAGGTGATGATCTGGTCTACCTGTTACAATTTTACCCTTCCCTCAGGGTAGTGTACATGGGCCACCTGACTCCCAATTTATCCTTGAAAGAGTCTGGTGAGATAAGTTGAGAGAGAATGTGTGGTCTAAAATCACCAGTGAACTATATGGCTGAGGCCTACTTATGCTGGTATGGGTGAAGTGAGGTGTGGCATCTGTAAGGCTGACTCCCATTGCAAGCTGGGAGGGGGGGAGGTAAGATTCCATAGTCTCAACGGATAACTCCAAGGCAGTGACTGCAGCGTGACTTCTTTATTGAGGTCTA